AAACACAAACACAAACACAAACACAAACACAAACACAAACACACGCAGCAAATACAATAGCACCCAAGCGAGTGAACATCTGTTTGGTAGAAATTTGGGGAACAGGGGTTCTATGTACTGTCCTACGTGCGCACGTAAGTATGTACGTTTATAAGATTGAGCAGCGCAAAACGGTGCGGAAACGAACGCCCCGGCTTCGTTTTGCACCAGGTAGGCATCCGGGGAGCACGGAAGGGGGGTAAGGGGGTAAGCAGGAGGCAGGGCCTTGCCGGGGCCAGGGGGAGGGGGCGGATACGGCAGTCCGGTTTCCCTTAGGTCACCGGAGGACTGGGACATCGTTCAGAGAGGCGAACAGAGAATACTCGTCGCGGTGCGGCCCGGCTCGGCTGCCGGTAAAGGAAGGGGGGGAAAAGGCAATAAGCAATTAAGGGCATGTAGAATGCTAACAACATGCGCTCACCCCAAACAAGCAGCATGTACATACAGCTCTGACAACCCGTGGCGCTGTATGCGCACACATACATACATACATACATACTTGCGAGCTGACCAGGAACTACGTTGAGGCGCCGTTGATCCGCTAGATTTGGTTGGATGCTGGTGGTGAGTTGCTGAACCCAACGAATACATTCTGAAATCGGATGGGGTGAACGGATTAGGGTGCCCCTCTAGCAGGGGAGAGCAGGGAACTGCCTCCAAGGGAAAGGGGGCCGCTGGTGAAGCTATACCACCCTGTAACAACATACATGTATGTGGCTCAGAGTGCACCGATTCGATGGCAAAGGCAGGTAAAATGACCCAGCAGTTGATGTATGCAAAGCAAAGCAAAGCAAAGGAAAGCAAAGGATGATTTAACGCGGAGGATTTCTGGACAGGAATGGAATATGTTTTGCGAACCCCTCGCTGATGCCTTCCCGCCCTTCAAAGCGAACGAAAGAGACAGCAAGGTAGGGTAACAGCAGGCGGAGTGACAGCAGGCAAACTGACAGCTTTCAGCGCAGGAACAGGCAGCAGAGTAACAGGCAGCAGAGTAACAGGCAGCGAAGCAACAACTCAGCAATTGCAAAATGTGTGATAAGCAACTGGCGGATGAAAGCGAAAAATTAAAATGAAAATAGGTTGATGATAGGAAAGAATTAATTTCAAATGACCGCCTACGTTAGCGGTAAAAGATTGGCACCGTAACACATGACAGCGGCCGACAACCCCGTTCACGCAACCATTTGGTTGGCACCAACAGAATGTTTTTTTATGTCTACAAGGAGTTACCAGACCATGCTGCGCAAAAAGGGCCGGAGCGACATTGCAGTGACTTGGAGAACCTGTCGTGTAGTGTAGTGCTGCCATGGCACACACGCATGGCAGACAGACGCCACATAACGACGAGAAGTAATACCCGCCGGGGCCGCTGCCACACCCCCCTGTGTCAGCAACCCCTCCCCCTCCCCCTCCCCCTTGCCTTTAACCCGGCCCCGGGCCAGACAGCCCAAATACACAGCAAGAAGTGTCGCACTTCCTCCCTTTCTGTCCAGGAGCCCTTCCAGGTTTGTATGTAGTTGACGAGGAGATAGACCTCTCGGGCTCGGCAAGCGGCCAGGTGAACACAGGGGCCACGAAGACAATTGCCACAATAAGTGTATTCCGGCAGGGATACATTCAGCCACAGGTCAAGTCCAACATGTGTCACTCGCTGTCGCTATGAGCCCTGCATTTCAACACATTCGGCCCCCAAACCCAAACCCCGAACCCCAAACCCCAAACCCCAAACCCCGAACCCCAAACCCCAAACCCCGAACCCCGAACCCCGAACCCCGAACCCCCGAACACCGTGGACGTCCACGGGGACTCTAGACTAGGCCAGGCTCGCAGTGCGTGTGACACCAGGGGAAGAAGGGAGGGGGGGACGGGGGGAAGGTGGGATTATTGAGTTGACCGCGCATCAATAACGTCAAAAGCTTCATTCACTTAGCTAGCGTTTTATTAAGTTGCAGTATGAGGTGGGGAGGATGAGGTGGGGAGGATTGGAGTGGTTTGCGAGGCGCTGGTAGTGGTGGTGCTTTGTGGTGCATTGCCTTTGTGTATTTGGCGTATACTCGTGTCTTCGGCGGTAATTGAGATGCGGCGTATGGGTAGCAGTTAATACGCGCGCGCTGTGAGAGTGTGTGTTGCGTGTGTTGCGTGTGTGTGTGTGTGTGTATATGTGTGTGTATGTGTGTGTATGTGTGTGTATGTGTGTGTATGTGTGTGTGTTTGGTGTCCGAGTTTTAGGTGCTGTTTCCGTAGGTTGTACTGCTGTGGCACTCTGCAGATGCCATCGTGTGTAGATGTCGTGTTGCTAATCGAGGTGGTATTGGTGTTGGTATTGTGGTGTTGGTGTTGATGCGCCATATCGTTTGTCTGATTCCTGTATGACTAGATGAGATGCGGTATGGGTCATTATTCGCCGCTACTTCTTCGCCCCGGGGGCAAGCGCGACGAGTTAGGGAAAATGAGTGATCCGTTTTTCGATCTTCGCGGCTTCCTTAATCCTGGTTAGCTAACCTGTATTTCTCATGCGATATTCCTTTAATAATATAATGTAAAGCGACAAACTATAAAATGATAAAATGATAAAGCGAGGCCCAAACCTCGGGATACCGAGTATTACGGCACAGAGGCGAGAGGGGATTCTCGCGGAGCAGTCCGTTTTCATGTCGGCCTGCGCGGTTGAGGCCGACATTCCACCTAATAATCATTGCGCGTGGATAACTGATACTAATAAATGGTATGCGCGCATGTATGAGATCGCGACAAGGCGGGCAAGTCCAAAGGGGGATCAGGTCGAAAAAGATGGAGGTGCGGACGGACAACTCCCCTTCGGCGCCCGCCTTGCATGTGATGCAGCGCTACATGCAACTTGCAATCAACAATAATGCGCTACTGCTCTAAACCTAACAAAAGAAAAACATGCGGTCTTTGACACTATACTTTAAAGGATTGAATAACACGATTTTGCGGAACTGTACTTCACCTGTTGAGCTGCTATGTGCGCCGTACGGCGTCGATTGGTCTGAACTCAAGCAAAGAATTCAGATTTCTCAGTAAGCTGCCACAAAAATGCGGCGCGTTCAAAAGATATTAAATATTTGTAAATACCTTCATAAAAATTGTTTTCAGGGAAGCCTAAAACGCATGGCTACGGACAAGAAGTCCCGTAGAGAAAGTGCTTGTGGCCTTGCGGCAGTGAGGTCGTTCCCCTTTTGTCAAGTTTTAAACTCTAGGACTCTAAACTCTCAACTCCCCGTATCTCAATCCACGGTAGGCCCATTTCTTTACAGCGGTCAGCAGGCAGTGGCCAAAACAGGCAACAAGGGCCAGCAGATATCAGAGAGCGTAGTTAGTTGGTAGCGGCCGCGGTCGAACCAGTACACCAGAGGGGGCCCATCCTCTCCTCCTGCGGCCAGAGAGCGACACACCCTTAGGCGCATCGTTAGATATAACATAAAGAGACGATACATGTGTGAATGGCTTGTGTTTTCAGCCGGCCAGACGAAAAGATCGTGTTACCGCACCCCTGCATGGTGATGGAGATTGGTGAAGTCCGTCTTTACGGGGCTTCTATAAAAAACACGTACAAGTCTTCTTTCCCCCCTCTATATCAAATCATGTTTGAAATGGCGTAGACGCGCCTGCAGCGGAGTTTGTGATGATGATGATGCAGTTTTTCCTTTCCTTTAAGGGGGTGAACGGGTCTCGAACTGGTGGTCTTCTTAAAACGGAAAACGGGGACGTTTTAAAACAACACGGACACCGGCACGCCGTCATGTCGCGGAGTAGTGAGGGCACGTCGCCATGCGGTGGTATGGTCAATGCAGCAAAGGGGGAGGGGGGTCGACGTCAGGGCCATCCATTTCCTTCCCCTCTTTTTTATTTACAAAAAGGGAGGTTGACAGCAAAAGAAGAGTGGGGAAGCAGTGCGACAAGAAACGCGACAGACAGACAGACAGACAGACAGACAGACAGACAGACAGACAGACAGACAGACAGACAGACAGACAGACAGACAGACAGACACATACACGCATTTTTGGTGGTGGCCACACACACACATAAACATATATACATACATACACACGGACAGTGAGGTGTCAGTGGCCAGTGTCAGGCCCAATTCGATGATACACACGTCTACAAATAAATATACATACATACATACACACGCACGACACGACCCCCCACCCCACAAGAGGATTCCTACTCTCTAACGCCTTCCTGTTCCCCTTAATGAACAACACATAATTATGTCGCGCCGTCCGTTTGTTTGTATGTATGTATGTCCGTCCATGTGTACATTCATCCGCGCGACGCGTTCACTCCCCCCCCCATACACACGACACACACGACACACACACACACACAAACACAAACCGGGGTCACAAAACACATCACACCGCACAAGCATCGACTTCGCCGCGACTGCGGCTGCGACTGATGGCTTTTCTCCACATACACAGCACAACACAGCATTACACTACACCAGCATACCGCCCAGCTTTTCACCCAAACCCAAAAACTAATATACCAACCAAACGACCAACCATCTAACCAACTAACCGACAAGCGGCGGAGTGCAGGCGCTAACTCCCTAAAGGCCTTATGTTTATTACTTTTACGTCAACCACCATCCTCAACGACCCATCTCCGCCTTTCTTAGGTTGCCGTACACAATGCTTTTTCAAAACCCCTTGGATTCCTGGCAAACGTCAGGACCCTCACTCAGTTACAAAGTCGTTTCAAACCGCAAAACCCATTTCTCTGTCCCCTCCCCTCCCGTTCCGTTCCCCCTCATTCCGGTGTGCTCCCATTCACCAACTGCATGTCGTACGGAAACACCACTTAACCAACGCATCTAACGAAATTTCGCGTCACAACAGCTGAATACCGTTGGCCTAGGGCCCGTACCTAGACCCACCTAGGGCTTCTAACTCATCGGGGTCACGTTTGTAGCCGTCGTGCTACTGCTACTGCTGTTGTTGTTGTTGTTGCTCGTCCCTGCCGCCAAACTTGGCTTTCAGGTTCTTACCAAACTGCCATAGCAGGCTTTGGTTGCCGCCGCCGCCGCCGCCGCCGCCGCGCTGCGGACTGCCATGGCGGACCCCTCCAGCGGCACCTCCCGCCGCCACCGCGGCCCCTCCGCCGCCGCCGCCGCTGCTGCTACTGCTGCTACCACCCGCGAGGAAGCTGTGTACGATACCGCCGCCGCCGTGACCAGGTGTTCCTCGCGACGAGTAGGTGCCGTTGGCGGCGGCGGCGGCGGCGGCAGTGGGGGTGGGAGTGCAGGCGGCGGTGGCCGGGGGGTTGACGGACCCGCCGCCTCCAAAGCCCAGCGCGCTACTAAGACCGCTGATCGGGCTCATGACGGTAACGCCGCCGCCGCCACCTCCGCCGCCGCCGCCGCCGCCGCCAGCTGCCGTCGCTACTTGATGCCCTCCTTGCAGCTGGAACTGCAGGTGCCGTATGGCGTAGTCCTTGTCCGCCAAAACGGTATCCTTGAAGCATTCATGTCATCGTTTGGGTTTTGTTTTTTAGGGTTTTACGCATTCACGATGACGGCGATGATGATAAATTATCCGTTCGTAAGTTGATCCGTTCGTAATTTCCGTTCATTCACGCGTTCAGCAGAAGCCAGCCATCCGTACATGCGCCGTACACGATAACGCCGTACGCCGTCACGTGGGACGAGGACCAGGAAGGAGGTGGGCGGCCGGGCAGGCGGCGGGGGGGGCCGAGTATGTATGTATGCATGTATGTATGTATGTATATATGTATGTATGTATATATGACTTAGATTACACTGTGGGCCGCGAGAGCCGGTTGCCGAAGCCGAAACACAGCGCAAGGGTCGGGAGCACACAGCTGCACCTGGTGCTGTTGGGGATGGGGAAACGTATGCAAAGAGCTAGGAACTCCATGTCGAGAGGGGAAAGCGGGGGGGGGAAGATGGATTGCGTATCGCAACGCACCTATACATAGCAGCTATATCGTCCTCTCCGTGCATCGTACATTCATCATGTCATAATCATGTGGGGCTGGTCGTACGTTCATTGCCGTACCTGCGCAGCGTACTTTTGCATCGTCTGATCCAACTTGTTGCTGAGCTTGTCGTTCATGTACTGCTTCTCGGCCAACTGCTGTACGAGACCGTCCAGCCGCGACGCCATCGCCTCGCTCAGCAAGCCGTACTGCCGTACACGTAGGTATTTTAATGGACGCGACGCAAGCACAAGCGCCATGACACATAGCGTGCCAGCATGAAAAGGGAATTCACGTCACTGCAACTGTGTTAGATTGTTTGATGTGTGTACAATAATTTGTATTGTGTTTTATCCCCGCAGACGAGGGGGGAGGGGGGAGGCAGCCGGGCTACCAAACGCAAAGTATGATTATAAGTAAAACCTCGGACTACAACTCGATTGCAAGTGGTGCATGCCCTAGCAATTTCGAGTCGAATTACCATGAAGGACTCCTCACACGGAAGGCCGTACAATACCGTACAGTGCCGTACCTGCTCCAGAACCTGAGCCGTTTCTGCCTCTATGGTTCGACTGCTGCGCAACTCGGCCCTCAGCTCGTTACACAGCCCCACGGCCTCCAGCAATAATTCCTGCACGTGCTGTTGTTGTTGTTGTTGTTGTTGTTGTTGTTGTTGTTGTTGTTGTTGCTGCTGCTGCTGAAGATGATGATGATGATGATAATGATGATGTTGATTTCGTTGCTGCTGGTGATGCTGGTGATGCTGGTGGGTCAGTAGCGCTTGCGTTGCGGTAGGACAATCCTGTGCCGAAACCGCCACCTGGCCGTTGGCGGTTGAAGCTGCCATACCAGCCGCGTGCGCCAGCGCTACAGCCGGCATTGGTGGCGGCGGCGCCGCGGCCGCGGGCTGTAGCCTGACTTGACCGCCAGGTCCAACCACCAGCTGGTCAAACGGTGTTACCGCTGCCGACGCCGGCGGCAACGCCGCCACCGATGCGTACGGCAGCGACAGCGGGAGCAAGCCCTCAGGAAGCAAGGCCGCGGCAGCAGCAGCGGCCGCGGCCGCGGCGGCGCCGCTGCCGCCAGCAGCGGCAGCGATCGAGGGCGGCGGAGCCGCCGCCACCGTCGCCGCCGCCGCCGCCGCGGCGGCTGCATCTCCGCTGCTACACGCCGCCGCCACCAGGCCCTCGAGGAGACGCTGTAGGGTATCTAGGCGGTCCGTACCGTACGACGTGCCCTACGATGTACGACATCGGACGTGTGGCCTGGGTTGGATTGAGGCGTGTGCGAATAGAGGACTACAAAAACAAAAAGACAGAACAAGAAGTAACAAGAGAACAGCATACATCAATTATGTCTGTCTGTCTGTATGTATGTATGTCTGTATGTCTGTATGTATGTATATACATATGTATGTATGTTCGTGCATAGCCCGCATGCAACACGATTAGCTACTAAGCAAATAAGGTGTCAGGACATTGCTACTGCGCCGGGAAGGGATGGAAGAGCTCTAGATGGCTCAAGGAGTTTGGATGTCGTACGCCTCTTCGGTGCTGACCAATACCAACGAACAAACCAAGAAACAAACAAACAAACATTCATACAGACGGACAACCTAGTATCATATGCCGGGAGACGGGAAGCAGCCGCCATTAATTGGTCCTTCAGCCTGCATATGAAATATAGCCCGTCTGTCTGTCTGTACTTATGTACACGTCCATCCGCCCTGTCCATCATATCTTCCCCCATCCCTCTAAGCGCCCCTACATATGCCGTACATTCGTACCGCGAGGCCATCCCCTCCACCCGCCGTACTGCCCCGCCGTACCGGCCCCGACGATACAGCGGCCACTGGCTGCGCAGCCCCAGTTCCGCCGCCGTAGCCGCCGCCGCCGCAGCCACCGCCGCCAGCGGACCCCGACGCGCCCGCGGCATCTAGTGCCGTACTAGCCGCTGCGTCGCTGCGGTCATCCGCCGCGTGCCCCCTCGACGCCGTCGGCGGAACCGCCGGTAGCACTTGCTGCTGCTGCTGCTGCTGCTGCTGCTGCTCCTGCTGCTGGTGATTCAATTCCTGCAATTTCTGCAACCTAGCCGCCAGGGCTGTGTGATGTCGTATCAGGTCACCTACGCCTAGAGACTCCTGGACGAAGGGGGGGGAGGGCGCAGACCATAAATGCCGCTGCAAGTAGGAAACTCAAATAAATGAACTGCCTGCCTGACTGACTGACTGACTGGCTGCCGGAAGGCGTCCAAAGAGTCCGAAACTGGCCCCAGTGAGTGAGTGGGTGAGTGAGTGAGCGAGCGAGTGAGCCCTAGGGGAGCGATGCCCTAGGACTCAGCGATGCATGGTTCCAGAAGAACGGGTAAGTCACAAACCAAACGCCAGTCCCAAGTTAGTGTGAGGTGGAGGTGGAGGTGGTGTGAGATCATCTTAAAATCTCCCCCCCCAAGGACGGGCCCCATAGAAAGCCTGAGCACCCGTCACGCACCGACACCCCCTAACATGCACACATATACACACACACGCCATCACACCCGCACCCGCACCCGCACCCGCACCCGCACCCGCACCCGCACCCGCACCCGCACCCGCATCTCATGCACCGCCGGGCTGCCGCCGTCGCCGCCCGGCGACCTCCGCCACCCTTCCACAGCTCCTGCCGCCGCCGCCGCCGCCGCCGCTGGAGCTGGAGCTGTTTCAACTGCCCCAATAGCCGATCCAGCTGCTGCCGTACCCGGGACCATACCCGACAGCAAATCGTGGAAGTAGGACATCTCCCCCGGAGAGCTGGCGGCGGCGGCGGCGGCTGCTGCTGGGGTGGAGGTAGGCGTGGTGGCGGCGAAGGAAGTCCCTCGCGGTGCCCCGTGCGCCGTTGCCGTTGCCGCAGCAGTAGCAGTAGCAGCGGAGACGCCGTCCCTACCCACAGCGCTGCTACCGCCGCCGCCGT